TGGATAGTGGTCCGGCTGGACGGCCGCAACTTCCACAGGTGAAGGCCGGGCGGGCAGCCAATATAGCGGTGTGGTCGCTATGGCGACGCCTCAGCGGGCGGGAGAATGGGGGCTGGGGGGGAGATTCCTCTGCCTAAAGGCGCTGAGGTGCGGGCTGTGAATGCTGGGCCGAGGAGAGGGATCTGGACCGGTGCCGTGCGGTTGGCCTTGGCCACTCCCTGCCCGGGCTGTGTGAATTCCGCGGGTCAGGGGTTGCGGGTCCCCCCAGTCCCCAGGAGGCCTTCACTCGGCCTCGCCAGGGCACGGAATTACTGCTGGTGTTTGTCTTCAGGGGCCACGGGCAGCAGCTTCAGAACCGTGCCTTCGGCAGGGCGGTAGGGAACTGGCGTACCAGTGCCTTGGGTGTGCTGGGAGAGGGAGAGCAGCTGGTAAATTTATTTGTGTTTGGAGTCAGTGTCTGTGTGGCATTCTTTGGGATAAAGAGAGCACAGGTCTTTGGAGTGGTAGATGACGTGTATCTTGCTGGGGCTTTGATCTTGGGTTTGGTTACTTGGGGATCTGGTAAAGCTGTCGAGTTTTGACAAGTTTATTGATAATGTTGCCCTTACTGAACTGAGTATAAAAGGTGCCCTAGGAGAAAGTGAGTTCACAGAAAGTAACTTTTCCAAGTAAAATGTGGAAATGAGTTGTTTTGAAGGACTGCTTAGGGTGGGATACTGATGGGAAAGGTAATGGGTTATCCAGAGTGTATAAAAAGAGGGGTTTTGTTACTGCTTTTCATTTCTGGAGGGAATTCTCTGTCAATATTCATAGAAAGTAAATAGGAGGGAAATTAACAGGTTAGCATTTTTAACTAGCTTTTTAAGGAATTCTTATTCAACCGTTTTTGCTTTGAAGGTTTTCTGAGCAGCATGAGTTCAAAAAGCCAAATGACGATCGTGCCCTTCATCTGATGACCAAGTGTGCCCAGACAGTGATGCAAGAATTGGAGGATATTGCTATTGCTTACGGACAGAGTGATGAATATAGCTTTGTTTTCAAAAAGAAGAGTAGATGGTTTAAAAGAAGAGCAAGGTAACAGCTGCTTTGATACTGAAGTGAGCTTGTTTTTAACATCTCTCTCTAAAGCTGTAGTTTTTCTTTAGATTTATCTTTATCTACACACAGAGGTTAGGAGCAGGGCACTGTTTGGGTGCATGCACTACAACTGGTTCAGGTTCTTCATGCGAACTCTGCATGTGATCCTTCAGGAAAATACGGTCAGTGATACAGTGTTTTTAAGAAAAGTTTTGATAAAACAAACATTGTTAGAACAAACATTCTTTTAACGTTACCGTTTCCAAACTCTTTTACTTGATTCTCAGTACTTTCTGTTCTTTGAAAGACTCTGTGCTGTTGCTGATCTGTTGGGCCATTATTTAAGAAGTGCTGCTATGCACCAGAAGTATCGCTACTGATACCTCAAAGTTGTAATCATATTGATGTATTTCTTTCTTTTTCCTTTTGCTTTGTCTTTGCAAGTAAGTTCATGACTCATGTGGTCTCCCAGTTTGCCTCAAGTTACGTTTTCTATTGGAAGGATTACTTTAAGGACCAGCAACTTCTATACCCACCAGGATTTGACGGACGAATTGTGTTGTATCCCAGCAACCAAAATTTAAAGGACTACCTCAGCTGGAGACAAGCAGATTGTAAGCGTTTCTGGAAAGTGGAGGGCTGTGCAGTTGAGTTCTCTTCCTCTCTGAATAGAAATGCCTTTATTGCCCCTGTATTAGTAAATACAGGTATCAGTGAAAGAACAGCCATTAGGGTGGTGGTTTTAAATAAAGAATACTAGAATTGTTTTGGGTGTTGTATGGATACAGAAATACTGGCTGAAGTTCTGAGTCTTCAGGCTACACCTATTTGTTGCATCCTGGGAATGAGTTCAGCACAGGAAATATTAGAATCATTAATAGAATTAATTTGTTCGGTTCCAGGTTTGTTCAGCCGAGGTAATCTTCTGTAATGAAGAGATGTGAATGTTCAAAGTCACACCATGTAGCAATGAAAAGTGCTGTATATCTCAGGCTAGAAAAGACCATTGCACTTTTTTTCTAGGGTTTTGTTCATACCTAGTCCCTGTTGCTCAAATGAAGATAATTGATGTTACACATAAACACCCTTCACCCTCTGCTCTCTCTCTTCAGAACTATAATGAAATCTGTCTTCTAGTCGTGTCATGTATAGTTGCGATATGCAGTACCTTAAAAATGGATCAGAAAGATTGTGTCTTCTCTAGCAACTGATATTATTAATTCCCCTTTATTCTTGGCTGTTTCTTGGATACGCCTCTGGAAATAGAGCTGTTTTTTCTGAGTAGTCACTTAGATTTGGTAAATTCTCTTTTGCTCTCTTCTCTTTCTGTAGGCCACATTAATAACCTTTATAATACAGTGTTTTGGATGCTTGTACAGCGAAGTGGTTTGACACCAGTGCAAGCACAGGACAGACTCCAGGTAAGAGTCTCTTGAGGTCATGGGGTTTTTCCCAACTACAAAGAAAATCATAAGATTTGCAAAGCTATGTCTTGCCCACCCAGCAGCCCTGGCTGGCTTGTCTCGTCTTACTATAATAATTTTATGGGTGTAGATTCAACAACTTCTTGAATTGTACAGATGTTAATATGATGGGCAAATAATGTATTTTTGGTCAAATATTAAAATTATCAGAAATCTTAGAAGCGTCATATAAACATCTGGTATCCATACGCATGAAGTACAACGGGAGGATTCAGATCCTATTGGTTCCCAGTCCCTTCTGTAGTATTTTGTCTGAGTGCGCGGACTTCAGCAGATTGTTTCTGTTTTCTCCTGGAGTCTGTTGACTTTCTTCTATTTGTCTTGAAAATGTAATAAAAAACCTCTCTGTTTTAATATCCTCATTTGGCAGTTGGAAAGAATTCATCTGCTGGGAGAGGTAATTAAACTTTGTAATTTAAAGGTGAAAAATCTGTGTGTCAGTCTTACATCCAATATTCACCCGTCTTCTACCCTAGAGATTCAGTTTGTTTTCTGTAAGAGTACTTTTTCTTTTCATTTCCTCTCAGGGAACTTTGGCTGGAGATAAGAATGAAATCTTATTTTCTGAATTCAACATCAACTACAACAATGAACCTTTGATGTATAGAAAAGGAACTGTCTTAATATGGCAGAAGGTAAAAAAAATCTATTACCACTTCCTTTATGCTCATGTTTTAAATAAATACACTATGGCAGACAAGCTACGCTGTAAGATCACCAGATGTATCCCAGACGTATGTCTACGTATAGTGTATTTTGAAAGTAACCATATTTGCCATATAATGATGTGCAGGGTGACTAATTGTTTTGGAGATGTTTTTGAGATCTCTGTGTCTCTGAGCATAGTATAAAAACTAGTCTCTGAGGTCTGGCTTGGGTACAAATTATGACTGTTGAGATAAAACGTGTATCAACAGATGACAGTGTACATGTAGAATTTCACAAGAGTGATGTATTTGCTAGGTAAATCTCCCTTGTTTAATGTGCCGTACAGTTGGTTTCGTAGTGTTACCAGGTGTGAAAACTGAGGAAGTATTCTACTTCCTGAAAAATTACATTTTAATGACTGTTGTTAGTGTGATATGGTAATCACTGGGGCCTGTGCCAGGCCCTTCACAGAATTAGATCCCAAGTATTTCCACTGCAAAGGAATAATGAACTTTCCTTCAGCAAGGTAGCTCAGCTCATGGTATGCTTAGTCCTTTTCAGTTTCTGTAAAGGAGCATAATAAGGAGTGCAGCTGTTAATGGGGAATTCCTTTAATGATAACTTGGAAACGTTCATCATTCTAGGCACACATCATTGATCCAGAATTAAGGGAAGGAAATCCCGTCCTGTGTTTTGCATGAGATGAGACCCCAGAAAATCAGAAATGTCTGTGGCCTTAGCATCCTTCTGTATTAGGAGATCTTAACTGGACATGTGTGTGTGATTAGGACCCAATCTGTCTGTGTTAAGAGGTCTCCATAATTTGCTCAGCCTTTTGTCTTCTACACATAAAAAATGATAATCCTTTCTTTGCTATTTAAATTTTGGCCAACAATTTCTATTACTTCATTTGAAGTAATTAGAACAGTTAGGGGCTCCCACCTGGAAATATATTCCACTTGTTCCTTATGCATATTTTTTTCTTGGTAATTGTAGACATTTGCAATCAGTTTCCTGATTGCTTTATATAGCTCCAGATTAAATATTGTACTTTATTCAAGAATACTTGTAGTCAGTTATTTGAATTTGCAGGTAACTCCTTGAAGCCATGTGATGATGACATGGAGTTTCAACTGCTCATGTGCTAGTCTTTGAATTTGGAATAGAGACTCAAAAGATGCAGTGTTCAAATTCTGTAGTATGCTGTAGGGTTGATAGTTGCTTTTGCTATAGCTTTGTTTCTTGTCTGTTTGTGAATTCCCTCTGGAGTCTTACGTGTCTGCTAATGTGTCAATTGTATTTTCAGAGTAATGAAGTCGTGACCAAGAAAATAAAACTGCCAAAGGAAGCAGAAGAAAAGGAAGTTGAAGTGATCCGGACTAGGACTAAACTTGTTCCCCTGCACTGTGACATTATTGGGGACCAGTTCTGGGAGGAATATCCTGAGATTCTGGCTGAGGATAGTTGATACCGGTGATGAGTGTAGCTGGTAGTTCACGTTTTGCTCTGCTTGGGTTGTTGGCAAGTGAGGAGTATGAATGGTCTGGCAGAGTTTAACCTGTAACCCTCTTCAGCAGCTACGTTGGTTTTAGCGCTGTTGTTGCCTGAAAAAAAGACACTTGGTATGTTGTCTGACATACAGGGATATGCCCATATGGAAAACTAAAATCATTATATTTTGACTATTAAGAACTCATCATAAATTAAGACTGCTCCATCCTTGTACATGTTGGTTTGTAGAAAAAGCATACAGAAATGTCATGCAGTTCTATAGCATTTAAACCAGGAGCTATTTTACTGAACTGCTGAACTATAAAAAAGCTTGCATATTTGAACAGTTAAAAGCAGAGGAGGAACTAATTCATTTGATTTTTGTTTCAACTGAGGCAGACCAGAATACTTCAGTTGGCATTTATTATTAAATTTCAAGGCCAGTGTGTTTAGTCAGATTAGTGACAAACTGTTCAGCTGCCTAATGTCTCTCATTCTTACAGAAGAGGAGTAGCCCAGCAGTTCCCCATGACTGATTTTAAAAGCCTTTGTCAAATGTACAGGATTTTTATACTTTTAATAAATAAATAAATACAATATTTCTTCCCTGCTGTGTTTATTACTTGGCCTTTCTCATTCCTGGGACTTTTACTAGTAATTAGTAAAAGTTCCAGACAGTGAAGTCAATAGTAAAGATACTGTACAGACTTGAATTCTTTTAGGAGGTGGGTGGACATTGTGCCCTCATCTTCTGTGGCCTGGGAATTCATCTCCCACTGTGCAGTAGAGGGAAGGTAGCAACGCAGGGGAACGTTCCTGGTGCCTGCCAAGAGGGTGCCAACAAGAACTCGTTTGGCTGTTCTCTGATTTTCCCGGGGATGACACAGATGTAGCAGTCCTGACAATACATGTTAGTTAGAGGGAAGGGAGGGGTGTTGCCTGGTCTATGCACAGTTTTGTTCTGGTTTAACAAACAGTTAAAAAAATGGTTTTAAAAACACTGGACGGGTACTAATGTAAACTACCAGTTTGCAGTTTCTTCCTGAGATTAAACAATGAGTCTATGTGTTTATAATAGCACAGGGCTTGCCCTCTACTGCTGTGTGCTACTACTGAGGAGTTAAGTACATGCCATGAGAGGATGCGTATCGGTTTTAGTGTGTAGAATTGCCAGGAAGAGGATGTGAGAGATGGTGGGGTGATGACTCTGAATGAATCATTGCGCCAGTCGTTTACCGCTAAGAACTTCCGATCTGTCTGGTCTTTTTGTCATCTAGCACAGCCGTAATTCACTTGACTTTGAAATGCCGTATGTTACTCACTGGGGCCTGGCTTCAGACGTTACATATAAAGCAACTGTTCCAGAGGTGCTAACATTTGGATTTTGCAGTCTGAGTAAAGGTGAAAAAAAATTCTGGCAACCACGATGTAGGGTTTTTTTATCATATATATTATGACTACTTGGTACATAAATAGATATATGGTACAATGTATGTTCATTGTGTATGTGTATCAAAAATGGGTCTGTATTAGGTCTTATCACAGTGTTTTCTGATTAACTCCTCCTTACAATAATATGTCCTAAGTAAATGTACGTGTTAACACATGGATACAGGCTTCAGAACCAAGATATGGATTGTCTGTACAGCCGTTGCCTTTAATTTGTATTAATGTGAACACTGGAGAAAGAAACTCCCTATGGTAACCTCATGCATCAAGTCACATATATGATTGTGTAGCTTTCGGGGATGACAAGTCTTCCCAAGGTTCAAGGGGCAGGCTGGCTTTAGTGGCCAGGAATCCCATCCTGTGCCCCAGGGAAGAAATACATGTTTCCTCTGAAGCTGGTCCACAACCCCTGGCTGATGGTGTACTGCAGTAACAGGAAGCATTAGACATACAGGAACCAGTTACGGAAGATTAATGGTAGGTGGTGGAATCCGTTACAGTAAAACCACTCTGCAGCACTAACGCCCCTGCTTTTCTGTGGAGAAATGTTTCTGCACTATATACCCTTTTATGGATTAAAATGCAAATTATATCGCAACCACATTTTGCCCCGGTGCCATTTCACTGCCTGCAGCCCGGGGCAGGTGGCGGCTGGGCCCTGCTCGCGGGAGCACCTCCGAAACAGCCGGGGGGCTGCGCCGTGGGCTGCAGAGGGAGGCCGCAGGACCCAGACCAGCGGTGCAGTTGCACCAGGGAGTTACCTGAAGATGCAGCGAGGAGGAAAACCGCAGTGACAACGGACGGTCGGTACCGGCCCGACCCGCCCCCGGTCCCACGC